ATGGAGAACCATCTATCATGCCAATGGTCATCAAAGAAACTAGAGTAGTCTTACTTATATCCCACAAACGAGATTTTAAAATAAAGATTTTAACAAGAGGTGAAGAATGGCAACATAACATAATTAAGGGGTTTATCCACCAAGAAGATTGTAAGATATTGTAAATGTTGTAAATATTTAGGCCCCCTACATGGGAAAAATCAAATATATAAATCAGTTAAACACAAACATAAAGAAACTCATTGATAATAATACCATAATAGTAGGGGACTTCAACACCCCACTTACAACAATGGACAGATCATCTAAGCAGAAAATGAACAAGGAGACAATGGCTTTGAATGACACACTGGACCAAATGGACTTAACAGATACATTCAGAACATTTCATCGTAAAGCATACACATTCTTCTCGAGTACACATGGAACATTCTCTGGAACAGATCACATACTGCGACACAAATCAGCCCTCAACAAGTACAAAAAGATCAGGATCATACCTTGCATATTTTCAAACCACAACACTATGAAACTTGAAATCAACCACAAGAAAAAACTTGGGAAGAAAATGAATACTTGGAGATTAACAAATATCCTACTAAAGAATGAATGGGTTAACCAAGAAATTTTTTTGAAGTTTCTTTTGAGTGCACAGGGGAGAGGCAGAGAGAGAGAGAGAGAGAGAGAGAGAGAGAGAGAGAGAGAGGATCTCTAGCAGGCTCCATGCTGCCAGCATAGAGCCGAACATGGGGCTTGAACTCATAAACTGTGAGACCATAACCTGAGCCGAAATCAAGAATCGAAAATTTAACCAATTGAGCCAACCAGGCACACCTAACCAAGAAATTAAAAAGGAAATTAAAAAGTACATGGAAGCCAATGAAAATGAAAACACAATAGCCCAAAACCTCTGGGATGCAGCAAAGGTGGTCATAAAAGGAACAAAGGTCTCAAATACACAATCTAACCTTACACCTAAAAGAGCTGGAAAAATAACAGCAAATAAAGCCCAAAACCAGCAGAAGAAGGGAAATAATAAAACATTAGAGCATAAATCAATGATATCAAAATTAAAAAAAAACAACAGTTGAACAGAGCAGTGAAAGGTTCTTTGAAAGAATTAACAAAATTGATAAACCCCTTAGCCAGAGTGATCAAAAGAAAAAGCAAAGGACCCAAATAAATGAAATCACAAATGAAAGAGACAGCACAACCAAAACTGCAGAAATACAAACAATGATAAGAGAATATAATCAATTATATGCCAACAATATGGGCAATCTGGAAGAAATGGACAAATTCCTAGAAACATAAACTACCAAAACTGACACAAGAAGAAATAGAAAATTTGAACAGACCCATAACCAATAAAGACATTGAATTAGTAATCAAAAATTTCCCAAAAAAACAGGAGTCCAGGGGCAGATGGCTTTCCAGGGGAATTCTACCAAACATTTAAAGAAGAGTTGGGGGGCCTGGGTGGCTCAAGTCAGTTAAGCGTCCAACTTCAGCTCAGGTCATGATCTTGTGATTTGTGGGTTTGAGCCCCGCGTTGGGCTTTGTGCTGACAGCTCAGAGACTGGAGACTGCTCCAGGCAAATGAAAACCACAGAGCCTGCTGCCTCTTCTCTATGCCCCTCCCATGCTCATGCTCTGTTTCTGTCTCTCAATAATAAATAAAACATTAAAAAAATTAAAAAATAAAGAGTTAACACCTATTCTTTTGAAGCTGTTCCAAAAAATAGAAATGGATAGAAAACTTCCAAACTCATTCTATGAAGCTAGCATTACCTTGATTCCAAAACCAGACAAAGACCCACTAAAAAGGAGAACTACAGACCCTGATGAACATGGATGCAAAAACTGTCAACAAGATACGGGAAAACCAGATCCAATAATACATTGAAAGAATTATTCACCACGATCAGGTGGGGCTTATTCCTGGGATGCAGGGCTGGTTCAATATCCACAAACCAGTTAACATGATACACCATGTAAATAAAAGAAAGGATAAGAACCATATGATCCTCTCAATAGATGCAGAAAAAGCACTTGACAATAACAGCATCCATTCTTGATAAAAACCCTCAAGAAAGCAGGGATAGAAGGATCATATCTCAAGATCATGAAAGCCATGTATGAAAAACCCACTGCTAACAACATCCTCAATGGGGAAAACCTGAGAGCTTTCCCTCTAAGGTCAGGAACAAGACAGGGATGTCCACTCTCACCACTGTTATTCAACATAGTGTTGGAAGCCTTATCCTCAGCAATCAGCACAAAGAAATAAAAGGCATCCAAATTGGCAAGGAGGAAGTAAAACTTTTACTCTGAAGATGACATGATACTCTCCGTAGAAAACCCAAAAGGCTCTGCCAAAAAACTGCTAGAACTGATCCATGAATTCGGCGAAGTTGAAGGATATAAAATCTATGCTCAGAAATCGGCTGCATTTCTATGCACCAATAGTGAAGCAGCAGAAAGAGAAATCAAGGAATCAATCCCATTTACAATTGAACCAAAAACCATAAAATACCTAGGAATAAACCTAACTAAAGCAGTGAAAAATCTATACACTGAAAACTACAGAAAGCTTAGGAAAGAAATTGAAAAACACAAAAAAATGGAAAAATATTCCAGGCTCATGGATTGGAAGAACAAATATTGTTCAAATGTCGAAAGTACCCAAAGCAACCTACATATTCAATGCAATCCCTATCAAAATAACACCAGCATACTTCACAGAGCTAGAACAAACAATCCTAAAATTTGTATGGAACCAGAAAAGACCATGAATATCCAAAGCAATCCTAAAAAAGAAAACCAAAGATGGAGGCATCACAATTTTGGACTTCAAGATGTATTACAAAGCTGTAATCATCAGGAAAGTATGGTACTGTCACAAAAACAGACCTATAGATCAATGGAACAGAACGAAGAACCCAGAAATGGACCTACAAACATATGGCCAACATCTTTGACAAAGCAGGAAAGAATATCCAATGGAAAAAAAAGTCTCTTCAGCAAATGGTGTTGGGAAAACTGGACAGTGACATGAAGAATGAACCTGGACCACTTTCTTACACCATACATAAAAATAAACTAAAGGGACGAAAGACCTAAATGTAAGACAGGAAGCCATTAAAGTCCTAGAGGAGAAAGCAGGCAACAACCTCTTTGACCTTAGCTGCAGCAACTTCTTACTTGACATGTCTCTGGAGGCAAGGCAAATGAAAACCACAATGAGATACCACTTCACATGTGTCAAAATGGCTTAAATTAACAACTCAGGCAACAAGAGATGTTGGCAAGGATGTGGAGAAAGAGGAACCCTATTGCAATGCTGGTGGAAATGCAAACTGGTGCGGCCACTTTGGAAAACAGCATGGAGGTTCCTCAAAAAGTTAAAAATGGAACTATCCTATGACCAAGGATTTATCCAAAGGATACAGAAGTGCTGTTTTGAAGGGACACATGCACCCCAATGTTTATAGCAGCACTATCAACAATAGCCCAAGTATGGAAAGACCCTAAATGTCCATCGACTGATGAACGGAAAAGAAGATGTGGGGTGTGTGTGTGTGTGTGTATGGTACATATATGTATTATATATACACGTGTAACACATATATACACATATATGTATATATGTACACACACATACACACATATATAACAGAATATTACTTGGTGATCAAAAAGAATGAAATCTTGCCATTTGCAACAATGTGGGTAGAACTAGAGTATATTATGCTAAGTGAAATCAGAGAAAGACAAAGAGCATGTGGCTTCACCCATATGCAGAATTTAAGATACAAAATAGATGAACATAAGAGAAGGGAAGCAAAAATAATATACAAACAGGGAGACAAACCATAAGAGACTTAAATACAAAGAACAAACTGAGGGCTGCTTGAAGGGTGTTGGGTGGGGGTGATGGGCTAAAGGTGTGAGGGGCATTAAGGAGGACACTTGTTGGGATGAACACTGGGTGTTATACATAAGTGATGAGTCACTAAATTTTATTCCTGAAATCAAAAAAAAAAGAAAAAAAAATAAGAACCCCCATATACTGCTGGTGGGAATGTAAAATGGAGCAGTCACTTTGAAGAACATTCTGGCAGTTCCTCAAAAGGTTAAACAGAGAGTTACCATATGACCCAACAATTCCACTCAAAAATATATATATAATCCATGAGAATTAAAAATATAAACTTGTACCCAAATGTTCATAGCCACATTATTTGTAACAGCCAAAAAATGTGGAAACAACTCAAATGTCCATTAATGGCGAATAGAAAAATAAAATTTCATATACATATATATTGTTATTCAGCAATAAAAAGGACTGAATACTGATACATGCTACCATTTTTAAGATGAATCTTAAAAACATTATGCTAAGTGAAAGAACCCAGACACAAAGGGTTATATATTATATGATTCCATCTGTATGAAATGTCCAAAACAGGCAAACCTATGAAAGTAGAGTAATGGTTACTTGGAGCTGGGGGCATGGGGGAGAAGGAATGGGAAGTGACTGTTAATGGGTACAGGTTTATTTTTGGGGTGATGAAAACGTTCTGGAATTAGACAGTGGTGACAGCTGCACAACACTACGAATATTCTAAAAACCACTGAACTGTACCTTTTAACGGGCAAACTGTATGCCAAGTGAATTATATCTCAGTAAACCTGTTTTTACAATCAGCGCGAGAAGGCAGAACTGGCAAAATGTTAACTATTCATGTATCTACAGGAAGGGTAATATGGGTGTGAATTCTATCACTGCCATATTTCTGTAGGCTTGAAATTTTTCAAAATGAGATTTGAGAAAATAATGCTAATGAAACGTGATTTGGGAAAACTAGCACCGACCTCAAGTAACAGGTTTACTTTTTCGTAAGTAAGTGAATTCTATGGTTGGTGGAGAAGGATGTAACCAAAATCAACAGACAACTAACCACAAGTCAGGAAACCTATAGTCAAGGGACACCCACCTGGTTGAGAAGTATCAGTCCATCCCCTCTTCGCTCGTACACAATAATCCCATCTTGTATTGGGGTCTTTGACAAACTTTCCAATATCTTTGAAGAGTTCACAAAAAGACATTTGGCTGGCTCGATAAACAGTGTAGTAGAGGAGGGCAGCCCTCCATAAAAAGGGGTCTTTTCTAAAAAGGACACTGTGAATACTTGCCAGTCCTTCCTCTGTGGGATTGTTTGGCTTTAGCTCATGTTTTTTACGACCAGTCCAACTGTTCCACGGCTGCTGAAGGTTGTTAATACCTCGAAAATAATGTGTGCCTGTGGACAAGAAAAGGCACACAAAAACCAAGAAATGACATTCTCATTTTAACTCTTAGCCAAAAAAAGATTCTACCAACAGTTCTAAAATTAAACTGATGTGTACCTACAAAACAAAGTGGAAAATTACCTGACCCTAAAGCCTTTTGCAGGAGGTACTCTGCCTTCAGAAGGACTACATGTGTCATTAGGAGAGGTAAAGGGAAGAATCACAGACTTTGATATTTGAAAAAAATATGAGATAGAGCACTTAGTTCAATTTCTTCAAGTTTCAGGTGGGAGGACTAAAATTCAGAGGAGTTAAATGACTATCCATGCTTAATACAGCTACACAGTGCCTGAAAAAATCTAATTTGAAGTAAGACATTACTATCTTGGCTCAAGTGAAACCTAAAAATTTCATTACTTTTTGCTAAATACTGCTAAGAGAAAACCCCATTATAAAAGAATGTTTCTCTGATGCTGATTTCTGATACTACAAATGAACAAATGGAGAAGGGCTACCCTACCTATTTCATGCCTCAGCATTCCCTCCAGCCAGTGCTCACGTGCAGTGGAAACATTGATGGTCAGCGTTGGACATCCATTTACCACTGTCATCGAAGCTCGGGAAAGCAGATCTTCAGTGAGATGTACTACAATCTAAGGAGCAAGAGGAAAAATATAAATATATGAAACAAAATGTAAAGGCTGGGGAGAAGCAGCTTTCACAGGAAACCACAGACCCATAAATCAAGATGTTTTTATTTTGCTTATAACCAATTCAAATCTCCCAGAAACCTAGACGATGAAATGCAGGGCCAATCACTTCTGACGCTTCCACCTTTGAGCTGGGGGAACTCAAGAACCTTTCCTGGAATGAAGGAAAGTAGAGGGCCGCGCTCTCAAATACAGTCCCCCCTGGCTACAATGATGCAAAGGAAGGTATACAAGCCAGAGTCCTGTTCGCTGTTGGGCCAAAGCTTATTTTGAACTGGCTACTAACAAGAGGAGCCACTGAGGCAAATCTCTTAAGAATTTTCATAAAACAATTCCAACAATTCCATAAAGTATACAGAAGTGGTAGTAAGTAAAGAAAAACACATAGTAAGCAAAATAATTCAATGCGACATAAACTTAGCATTTAGTGAGACTTCTGGGTGACTAATTTAATGAGCAGAATGGGGATGGGAGAACAAAACCTGCAGAGAAAACCATGTGGCACCGGGAGTTAAAATGCCAGCAGTCAGCATCTCGTGTCATCCCAATTCATACCTCACCCATGCAGCCTTCTTTCATCATGTACTTCCTAACGTGACTCCAGATTCGAGTTTTAGATAGCAGGCTGCCACCGGTGGCCTGCTCAAATTTTTCATAACTTCCATATTTCTGTAAAGTCAGTTCCATAATATTGATGGACTGTAAAAAAAAAACCCACAGATAATGCAAATAAATAACCTTGAATTATTTTGAGATGAGTAATAAGCCAGTTATATTCTTATTGATCATGACCTGTTCTGTGTTTATTGATTTCCAAATGAAACTGCAACTGAGGTACCACATCTAATCCTAAACACTGTTCACTCACTGTCACAAATTTTTACAAACACCTCAGTACTTAGAAATCCTCTTTCTGTGTTTGTTTCTCCTTCACATGCTAAAGGACAAAGGTACTGCATACAGTGTCACCACCTGACAGGCTGAGGAGATAAGGCAGAGGGCTCCTTGGCTTCTCTAAGACCATTTGGTGGTTTGGCAAGAGAACTCAGAGTGGAAGGTATGTCTCCAGATTAATTACTAAATTATAACTGCCATTTGGATAAAAAAAATAATAGCCCCAATTTTCTTTTTTTCAACGTTTATTTATTTTTGGGACAGAGAGAGACAGAGCATGAACAGGGGAGGGGCAGAGAGAGAGGGAGACACAGAATCGGAAACAGGCCCCAGGCTCTGAGCCATCAGCCCAGAGCCTGACGCGGGGCTCGAACTCACGGACTGTGAGATCGTGACCTGGCTGAAGTCGGATGCTTAACCGACTGCGCCACCCAGGCGCCCCATAGCCCCAATTTTCAAGAACACAAAAAAATAATCCACAATTCTTCTGTGACAATCTTATAAAATTTGAAGCTTTCCTGGGCTAGTCTTTCACAGAAAACAGTCTCAACATTACTAAAAACATTTTCATCTTTCATTCAGGGAAGGGTGCTACCTACTTTTTATTCTTCATTAATTTTCACATCAAAAGAATATGAAAATTGAGATCTTTTCTAAACACAGATTTACAGAAAGGAAGACTAAAAAAAAACCCCTAGTAATGAATCAGAGATCCTTAGTATCTTGAAAAAGCCACAAGAAAGGAAAACATACGGAAGAAAAAGAATCTTCAAAAGGCCTTTTGGGAAAGAAGCTAGAAAATGCAAATATATCTTATAGGAACTGAGAGAGAAGCTAGAAAATTCATGCTATGAAGTCTAGTTTTTTACTGTCAGACTAGTAAAGAGATTGAAACTATAAGCACCAGAGTCAGACTACTTGCATTGCTGCCCTGGTTCTATCCACCTTCTGGCTTTGTGGCCATGGGCAAGTCACTAAACTTGTCAGTAAGCCTCCTCATTTTTAAATGGGGTAACAATAATAATGTCTACTTCATGGTTTTGTTGAGAAAATTTAGTCAATCTTTGTAAAGTACAAATAAGTAGTCAATACCTGTCAATTATTATTACATCATCATCGTCATCATGATCGGTACATTCATTCTTTGTAAATGCCACCGCTGTACATAATATGCTCAACACAAAAACTACAGAAAACGAACACACTACAAGTTATGATACAACATATATATCTCCACTGAAAAAAATATGTATTACTAATAAACTAGGCATGTGACTTAAAGTTAGTGTAACAAGAAATGGCTTCGATAGGCTTTGCCTGGCTTCTGTTCCCAAAACTGTTTTTTTTTTTTTTTAATTTTTTTTTTTTTCAATGTTTATTTATTTTTGGGACAGAGAGAGAGCATGAACGGGGTAGGGGCAGAGAGAGAGGGAGACACAGAATCGGAAACAGGCTCCAGGCTCTGAGCCATCAGCCCAGAGCCTGACGCGGGGCTCGAACTCACAGACCGCGAGATCGTGACCTGGCTGAAGTCGGACGCTTAACCGACTGCGCCACCCAGGCGCCCCCCAAAACTGTTCTTGAAAGCCTTGCAATTCAAACTGTGGTCGAAAGGCTGTGAGCTGGTTTCAAATGCAGAATTTTGCCCCCCACCACGCCTAGTGAATAAGAACATGCACTTTAATAAGATCCTCAGATGACTCATGTGCACAGTAAAAAGCAGCATCTCAGAGAATGGAAATATAGCATAAAGAGGCTACATTTTTTATATGACAACTCTGATAAGTAAAAGAATAAAAGCACATAATTAAAAACCCATTTCAGCAGATTAGCAAATATTTTTTGCATACCCTAGTCTAATGATCCCAAGTCATCAATATATCAAACACGGTGAGAAGAAGGTAAGAAATTTGGCCTTAATTTCAGGAGAGACAGATGTGGTGCCTTCTATATTGGACTGACATTTAGACCTAAAAAAGGTTAAAGAATTTTTTTAATATAACTTGTAGTTGTATGTTTTTAAAGTATGTACTTAATTTTGGATAAAATTAGCTTTTCTAGCATATGCTTACTCACTAGAAAAACTGTCGTTATCTGGTTACTATGGTAGTAACAGGGGATACATTCTAAGACCCCAGTGGATGACTGAAAATGCAGAGTACAAAAGCCTATGTACACTATTTTTTTTCCTATATATACCCACCTATGATAAGGTTTAATTTATAAATTAGGCACATTAAGAGTTTAACAATAACTATTAAATATAACAATTATAACAATATACTGTAATAAAAGATAAGTGAATGTGGCCTCTCTCTCAAGATATCTTATGGTACCATAACCCACTCTTCTTCTTGTGATGTGAGATGATAAAATGACTGTGTGATAAGATGGGGGGGGGGCGAATGACACAGGCAGCAGCATGAGGCTACCACTGACCTTCTGACGATATGTCAGAAAGAGGATCATCTGCTTCCAGAGAGAGGTTGATCTCAGGCAACTGAAACTGCAGAAGGTGAAACCACAGATAAGGGGTACTACTATGTTTATTACAGCAGATAGAATTTAGAGAATTAAGAAAAACTTAAATACAGGTGTTCCCTGTTATTGCCAATAAATGGTACTAGAAGGCTATTAAGTGTTCATATTCATTCATATTCCTAATAGGAAACGACAATTTGATAGGAAGTTTATACTAAAAACGTATCCTATAAATTTAAGAAAGAAAACATACCTTGGCAGCTTAATAACATTTAGGCAACCTTTATGTATGCCTATGTACTAATTTTTTGATTCATCAATGAATGAATAAAAATAGTGGGGGCTGGGGGGGAGGGGGAGTGATTTTTCCATCAGAATGATATACAATAGCACATAACATCCTTCATTTCATCCTGATTTACATGGCATCATAATGGTGGCAAACTACATGGGAGCTTGTGTTAATATGATGTCATGTCCAATCATTCTTTAAAGTGCCTATCCTATTGTTATCTCTACTGATTTTTCTTCAACAGTTTTTCAACTGGTCCAACCTAGATAGATTTGTCAGTGATCACAAAGATCTCCAGTATCCTTCACTAACCTCAAGAAATAACTTCCCAATCCACCTGCATTATAATAACGCCCAGGCGCAGAGACAGAAACAGTGGTTAAATGGGTGAATAAGTTCAAACATTAAAAGAGAGCAGAAATGTTGAGTGGTCACTTCATCAGTGAATATTTTTATATTACAATTTCTACTGCTTTATGCAATCTCTTAACTGCAGGCCACAAAAATTTTAGGAGTATGATCTCAGTTTGGAAAAAGAAAAAGGCAATAAACAATGTAAAAAGGCATAAGGAAGCCTGCAAGAATATACCCAAAGGCTGCTGCTCCTGTTTGGGATGGAGTGATAGATTGCACTGAAGTTTATTATCTGTACTTTTCAGAAGTTTTAAAATTCTTTACAATATGCATTTGTTAGTGTTATGATCAAGAGGAAAAAGTCATTTTTCTTCAGTTTTACTGAGTTATGACTAACAAATACAAATAAAAATTGTGGGGGCACCTGGTGGCTCAGTCAGTTAAGCGTCTGACTCCTGATCTCAGCTCAGGTCATGATCTCACGGTTCGTGAGATCGAGCCCTGAGTTGTGCTCTGTGCTGACATTGTGGAACCTTCTTGGGATTCTCTCTCTTCCTCTCTCTCTCTGCTCCTCCCCCACTCAGGGTATGTGCACGTGTGCTCCCTCTCTCAAAATAAATAATAAACTTAAAAAACAAAATAATAAAAATGGGGCATATTTAGGTTGTACCATGTGATGTGTTTTTCTAAAGGTGTACAATGTAATGATTTAGTATATGTACACACTGTGAAATGATTACTACAATCAAGTTGATTGACACAGCTATCACCTCAC